ATATATATATATATATATATATAAATGTTTATAGTTATTAAGACAATACCAGAAATAGGCTTAGCAATTAATTTTCGGAAAAAAAAACAATGTTGGCATCTTGAAGACATCTCCAGATGCTACGAAATGGGCTGGTATAAGATAATTAATAATTGATCGTTGTGTCGGGGACAGGCAGCCCGATACACAGAACATTTTAGGCTTATATCTATGTCCCCCCCCCCCCCAGGACGCAACCCCATAACAAGTTAACTCCTGGGGTACTGCTAGGTGAACAGGTCCATTAGGTGACAGGAAACGCGCTCAACCATTTCCGACCCGCCCGGGAATCGAACCCGAAATTCTCGAGTGTGAGTCGAGAACGAATCCGACTGTACAAAGGTTTCCTAAGGTGCTTTCCTCCTAAGGTTTCCCAATATCAACGAACCGTCGTACTCATGTGCCCTTATCCTAACCTACCAGAGGTCCCAAAACAGAAAACGGGACCTTAAGTCACTTTCGCGAGCCGCTACCATTTTCAACAATGACAATATTTGACCTCAGGTGGAGTGTACGTCAAAATGCGACGTTCTATTAGGCGGACAGGTTGGCACATTGAGACATCATCAACAAAGTTACTCACGGAATAATTCAGCGTCGCCAGAAATAGCGGAATGGTCAGCGCTTCCGCCTCCAGCAAGCCGCTCCGGACACTACAGGAATCCTGAGGAGGACCGGAGAGCGCGCGACACCGCCCCTGCTCACTCTCTAACACGCACTGACGGCCCACTGGCAACAAATCAGACAAGAGGGCACTGCCACGCGACGCCTCTGATTGGCTACATCAAGTCACGTGGGGTAAACAAGACCACGCTGGCGCCAGGACGCCTCTGATTGGCTACATCAGGTCACGTGGGGTAAACAAGACCACGCTGGCGCCAGGACGCCTCTGATTGGCTACATCAGGTCACGTGGGGTAAACAAGACCATGCTGGCGCCAGGACGCCTCTGATTGGCTACATCAGGTCACGTGGGGTAAACAAGACCACGCTGGCGCCAGGACGCCTCTGATTGGCTACATCAGGTCACGTGGGGTAAACAAGACCACGCTGGCGCCAGGACGCCTCTGATTGGCTACATCAGGTCACGTGGGGTAAACAAGACCATGCTGGCGCCAGGACGCCACACATCCCCATGTAAACACACACAACCTCTCACAATTTTCCGTATGTTACAACTTGCGGAAAATTGTGTTTTTGCAACTTGCAGCTTTGTGTTTGGCGCGACATTTTGTGTTCTAATGATGTTTTCATCATCATAAATAACAAATAAATACCAATTCATCACATCAATAACAACTCATCATAGAGACTACGGACTTAAACACAAATGTATAATTTTCTTGTTGTCATAATTTGTCCTTAAAGTAAATTAAATATATAATTACAACAAAATATTGTCATTGTATAG